GCTTATTCTTATTTAGCTAAACACCGAAATATGGTTCATGTTTTTAACAGCTCTAAATTACTAATTTCAACCTTTCAAATAGCTACTAACTTAAATGCTCTGAAAATGTGAAAAAGGATGCTAGGCAAATTATCAATCCCACTAATTTCACTATGTTCTCGGACGGGGCTGGAGGCTGGCGAGTATCTGCCACTTTCTATAGCACTACCTCAGCCTCTTCTTCCTTTACATTTACCTAAACAGTATTACTCTTCTCACCTCACATAGTTAAGTCTTCCTGTCTTCATCTGTTCTACTTTGCAATGTTCTTCCTTTAATTGCAGCACCGCATGTTTCAGACTCATCTAATAAATTACCAGTGACATTTGAGAACTAAATCCTCTCCAATGACATGCTGGTCACTACCATGAAAGCTGACTGTATGCCATCTGCAAATCAATAAAGTCACCATACATTCCCCTCCAACGAGACTTTTCCAACCATCTGAAGCTCACCTTAGCATAAAGAAACGCTTCGTCCACAGGGGCTTTACTGGTGAACATGGTCTCAATGAAAGCCTGTAAAGACAAAGGAAGATGAAAAGAACACAGTCTCATTCTCACTATGTTGCTTATTCAAACATTCAAAATACTGGAGGTCAAATGAAAAGCACATCTCACCACAATTTTGTCAACCTGAAGTTGTGACTCAGTGGGCATAATAATATAGATTTCTGAAGGGAAAAAAATACTGCTTTCAGGAATATTAACTAATGACAGATTTAGTGGAAGGGCATTCAACTTTCCCACTCAGAATATATGCTGAATGCTAGAATAAGCAACATAAAAACTGCTGTGGTTTGAATGTGTCCCTCCAAAATTCATGTTGAAACTTAATCCCTACTATGGTAGTATAAATAGGTGGGGCCTTTTTGGACAGGATTAAATATGAAGGCTCTGCCCTCATGGATGGGATTAGCGACCTTATAAAAGGGCTTGAGGGAGTGAGTTACACCCCTCTTGTTTTTCTATCTTCTGCCATGTGAGGACACCTAGATGGTGCCAGCTATGAGGAATGAGCCTTCATCAGACACAGATCCTGCTTGTGCCTTTATCGTGGACTTCCTAGCCTCCAGAACTGTGAGGAAACAAATTTCTATTTTTTCTTTTGGAGACAGGGTCTCTCTCTGGGCCAGGCTAGAGTGCAGTGGTATGATCCTAGCTCACAGCAACCTCAAACTCATGGGCTCAAGCCATCCTCCTGCCTCAGCCTCCTGAGTAGCTGGGACTATTAGAGTGTGCCACCAAGCCTGGATAATTTTTCTGTTTTTTTGTAGAGATGGGGTCTTGCTCAGGCTGGTCTCGAACTCCTGGTCTCAAGTAATCTTCCTGCCTCAGTTTCTCAAAGTGCTAGGATTGCAGGCGTGAGCCACTGCATCCAGCCAAATTTCTATATTTTATACATGACATAGTCTCAGGTAATTTGTTATAGAAGCACAAAATACTAAGAAATACATCTGTCATTTATGTAACAAGATGCTTCTATAGCCCTGGAATGTATGAAATTATGGAACGAATGGTCTGGTCTACAGCAGGATTTCTTAACCTTAGTACTATAGACATTTGGGGCCAGATAATTCCTTGTGGGAGGGCTGTCCTGCTCAATGTAGGATGCCAAATGCGACAGCTAGACATTGCCAAAATGTCCCCTAGGGCTGCAATCCCCAATGTCTGGGCCAAGGACCAGTACTGGTCTGTGGCCTGTTAGAAACCAGGCCACACAGCAGGAGGTGAGCGGCAGGCGAGCGAGTGAGCAAAGCTTTGTATGTATTTACAGCTGCTCCCCATCACACAAGTTCTGCCACCTGTCAGATCAGCGGCAGCATTAGATTCTCATAGGAGCGTGAACCTTACTGGAAACTGAGCATTTGAGGGATCTAGATTGCGTGCTCCTTATGAGAATCTAATGCCTGATGATCTCAGGTGGAGCTGAGGCAGTGATGCTAACACGGGGGAGCGGCTGCAAATACAGATTGTCATTAGCAGAGAGGTTTGATGGCACAATAAATGTAAGGTGCTTGAATCATCCCCAAACCATCCCCCACCCCAGTCCGTGGAAAAACTGTCTTCCATGACACTGGTCCTTGGTGCGAAAAAGGTTGGAGACTGCTGCCGTAGGGGACAAAATTTCCCCCAATTGAGAATCTCTGGCCTATAGTATAAGCACTTTTATTAATTCTCTGTGATGCCACCC